TTTAGCACCATATTTTTTTAATTTGCAGTTTGCAACTACAACGGTGCTTACAGTATTGCAGTTTACATGGTCTATACAGTTGCATCGCAATTGCAATTGTTTGCAATTTCGGTAATTGATTAAAAGTCATGAGTGATACCAATAAACAATTAAAAGGGTAAACTTCTTTTATAGTTTGAAACAATTCATTGATAAAAGAATTCAAGCTGAATCATAAATTTCAAAAATTAGAAAAACGAAGTTGTTGAGCATCAATTGAAATACAGAGGAATGAGCTTACTTTACACATTGGTGCTACGAGTATCATTCCATCCCAACTATTTGGCTCCTTCAAATGAACTTTAAGAGAAACTGCTCCACCCATCGACTGTCCTAATATAAATCGAGGCAAGTCTCTCAGATCAGGCCTTGCTGTCAATTGAAATACAAAACAAGATCAACAACAGCATATCTTTCACATGAAAAATATTACAAAGATAATCAATATAATTTCAACATCATGGATATTGAAATGTGAAAATGGCACACCTTTAATTTTTGTATAATGCTCTACAACATCATCAACCAGATCGTCAAAGTTTGGTATATAACCATGCAATCCTTCTGAAAGACCAAAACCTGGATAGTCCATTGCAAAGACACCATACCCAGATGCGGCAATTCTCCTGGCAATACCTGTATACAAAAATGCAAATCATATCCTCCCCCAAATGATACACGAGGAATCTTTAGCTCCTTCAGAAACGTATGGCACAACTTACGCCATTACAAACCTTCAAAGAAGAATGTGCAAGTATCACCATATCCATGACAGAAACACACAGAGGCCTTGATGGGAATACCAGGCTTTGGCATCCAGCTTTTGCAGAAAATTTCCAATCCCCTTGAATTCCTCTCGTACCACTACTCATTAAACAAATATAAAATATAAAATAAATAACATTTTCCACCATGGTAACAAACTCATCAAAGGAAAAAACTTCACAACATCAACATTCACCAAGATTCTTAACAAGGCAGAAAATCTTACTTCTTCAGTTTTGATCCCAGCAGGAGCATTCTAGCACAAAAGGTTAAACATCAGTCAGTCACCGAGTCTTAAACAAGGAACTAGTCATACCCAGTAAACGAAAATTAGAAGAACTTATGAGCATGTTTGAGTAAACTTATCTGGAAGCATTTTTAGTTTATGCATATGCTAATTTGTAAAAGCTTTCTTCTATTAATTTCTTTAAAGTCTTGTTTTTAACTTATACATAACAGCTGGAGAAGCTCTTTTGCATTTTCCATCCTATTTTTCTCTTTCTCTCATAGAAGTGTTTCTCAAGCTGTTTATTCAAACTAGGTCGAATATGTATATCTTTCTAGAAATCATGGTTTTAAAAAAAGAGTTAGGAACTGCAATTGCAGCCACAAGATCAAGGTTACAAGGTCTCAGCAAGTGAATCTCAACCGCAATAACAGCCACATTAGTCACATTCGTAAGCCAAATTTCCGCAATATTGAGAATCGCGACCAAGCGGCAACCCCAATTTTAAACCTTGGAATAAAGTGACAACTTATAGTGCCTTGTTCCTTTCTAAATATCCTCGGACTAATTTGTATAAATGAAAATTTCAAGGATCAAAGTAATAAAAGTTGTCACTAGAGCCAAATAATATAATAACTCAATAAGTATAAATATTCCGCCTTCCCTTAACCACGATCAAAACTCAACTAACCTTGAACAAACAATGATCCAGTTGCTGCTGCAGCTCAGCGAAAGCAGCGCGGACCCTTCTTCGAGTGTAAGCAAAGTCAAGGTTGTAACGAGCTATAGCGTTCAACTCTTCACTCACCCCTTCAATAGGTTCCTTTCTCAGTGCTCTCACCGTTAGAGTACTAATCTTGGGTTTGTTGGTGACCTTGGTTGAAAAGGGTGGTTGATGCATAAAAGGGTGGCTGGTGGGTGTGCGCGCAAAGGGTGAGAGGAGGTTCCGTGATCGGAATCTGAAGGGCACGGATAGCTCCATGGTGAACGAGGGGTGTGTGTGAATGTGTGATGAGGGATCACGATTCGCGAGAACGCTTCCCAGGTAAAAAGTTTTGGTTTTTTTTTTCCTTCTTTTTTATAGTATTTTTCTTCTTTTCATTGTGCTGCAAGCAATTGAAGTGCCGGGGTCCAATTCCGAATTTGACCACTCGGGAAGCTGCGTTCGGAGACCACAGTCCATGTTTGCCAGCATTAAGCACTCACCACCCTGTTCACTTTTCTCGCCAAAGTGGGGTCGGTGAAACTTGAAAGCATCCCAATAGCACGTGTCTAACATGCTTAATCATATAGAGTGAAAGAAAAAAAAAATTAAATAACTTTTACTAAGTATTACACTATTTAATAATTTTATACTAAATATAAATTTTATAAATTTATTCACTAAATTAAAAGTTTTTTACTCTTAAATCATAACGATACTGGTATAATTTTTATTAAGTATTATAATATTTAATAATTTTATATTAAATGTTAATTTTGTAAATCTAATTATTGAATTATAACTTCATATTATTTTATATGTTTATGTTCTTACCGGAGATCGGTCGTAAGGACGATCTGCTGGGCAAGATCAGTGAGCCTCATTCGCTAGGTACGCTTGTTGCTCCAAGATGGGGGTGGTACCTGCA